AGGCTCTGGCTGCTTGGGGGAGATAGAGAGCTTCCTGTCGCTGGAGGTATTCAAGCAGAGGCTGATAGACTGTGAGCCATAGAGATGTTTTTTGAGGACTCCCACATTGGCCAGTAGGTTGATTCATTCACTCAGCAAACTTTTGGAGAGGGCTGCCCTTGCCCGGCCTTGTGATGGGACAGGAGATGCCAAGGTAAATGGAACACCATCCCTGGCCCCAAGGAGCATCCAGTCCAGGGAATGAGCTGAGTGCTGAGGCTCCTTCTACTCTGTGGCTCTGTGCTTTAGAGGTCCAGGCCTTGGAGGGAGTCGGCTGAGGAACGTCAATGTGCGCCCTTTGGTATTGATCCACTGGAGTTGGAGCTGGCTGGGGAGCAGCAGGAGGAGGACGCTGCAGTGTTATTAGTGTGGAGGACACGCTATAATCTGTCAGTGTCACCCTGGTCGCAGCTGGCCAGGGAGCCATCCTGCTGTTAACTCCTCCCTTCCCAGCAGCCGCAGAGCCCACGACTTGTACAGCACCCTCTCCAGTGCCTCCATTCTTCTCTATAGGAGGGAGAAGGTGGTTGTTTACTCTTTTCATACCTATTCCTGGCATGAGCCATTGGCCCCAATCACACGGATTTATTCAGTGTTTCCCAGACACACCTTGGTCATTCCTACTTCTGTGCGTTTAGTTACCAAATTTCCCTACGAGGTATGATCACCTAAATGCAATCCTATTTATCCATTTGCCATCTATCCATCCATTCATCTTCACATCAAAACACCCATCCATTTTGCCATTTATCCAGCCAACCACCCATCCACCCATCCACCTTACCATCCGATCATCTATCCATCCATTTTTATCCATCCATCCAACATCCATCTATCCCTCCATTCGACCTTGGAATTTAATTCAGTTCAATTCAACTCAACCCAGTTCCATTCTGTTCCACTTATTCCGTTCCATTCATCTTTGTTCAATTCACAAGATAGATCCCTGAGCCCTATCATGTGTTAAGCGAGTGTTAAGTAAGTCATGTCCCTGCTCTGAAGGAGTCCATGGAAAGGATCTGCCCCATCCTTTATGGTCAGCTTTGAGTCTCACCTCCTTCAACCCTTTGTCAGTCCCTTTGGCAGAAGCATTGGCTCTATAGGACTATCTGTGGAAGAAGGTTTAGTCTGGTTTTCACGAGCTCCATAGAATGGAACTAATACAGGGAGAAAGGTAAAGGGTGGATAAGAGATGAGAGTGAAGAGAGCAAATGGGACAGGGAATTTGGTTCCATGGAGTGGGGAGCTTCCTAATCACCCAGCTGGAGCACTCCAGCTGTGTCTGAATGGGCATGTATTGGGGGATGAAGGAAAAGAGAAGGGAACAAGGAGACCGCAATTAGGGAAGCAGGTTAGTATGGGGTGAAGACATGAGCTACGGAGCCACATAGACTGCCTGGCTTCATGTCCCAGCTCCACCGTATTCGTGCTGTGTGACCTTGGGCAGGTATCTTAATCTCTCTGAGCCCCAATAGCCTCATTTCTAAAATGAGGATAATAATAGGATCTGTCTCATAATGTTTCTGTTGGCATTAACATGTAAAGTGCTTAAAATAATGCCTGGCACAAAGGGAGAGGTCTACAGATTTTAGCTATGGTAACTATTACTCTGTTGAGCATCAGGACATTCTGGTGATGCGCTAGGTGCTTTCACATTCAACGTCTCTTCCAAGCATCTCAGCTGTTACCCTTATGTAGGGATGATTGAACCCATTTTATGGTTGAGGACATGGAGGCTCGGAGAGGTTGTAACTTGCTCACATCACACGGCTAGCAAAGGGTGGAGCTGGGCGTTAAGTACAGGGCTTCCTAACTCTACTGCCTGTGATCTCCCACTCTGTCTGTTCTACTGCCTCTCAAAGGGCGAGCGCTCTGAGATGCAAAGATTCTAAGACTTTCATCCCACGTGCTGACTGGGGCATTCTTTTAGTTTTCTCTACGTTCAGCCTTGAGTAGTTTATTGCTGTTTTATGTGTGTTTTCGCTCTTCCCCAGAGGTCATGAAATTAATTTTTTTTTTCTTTTCTACAGTGACTGAAGTGTTTACTTTGACAATGACATTTATGATATTTCCCTTTTTGCCTTGCTTGCCAGGAAGCTTGGATGTGTCAGATTGCTTACTTTCCCTTTCCATGGTTTTGATTTTCTACCTTTAACAGCCTGTTTTATTTATGTGTCTTTTACTGTAAGCTGTTCCACTCATAGAAGGAGCGGAATAAACAGAGGTTGAATTGACTGGAAAAGGGCAGGTTGCAAATTACAAGTAAATGATTTAAATAAAACTGCGAGATTGAGGAAAGGAACGTGCCTTACTCATGTCTTTGCCCTCATCTCTACCAGTGTCTAGCCCTGGGCCTGGCCAGGTGAATTTTTTTTTTTTTATGTTCAATTAAAAAAGAATTTTTTTATTGTACTTTAGACAAAGGTTTACAAAGCAAACGAGTTTCTCATTAAACAATCGATACACATATTGTTTGGTGACATTGGTTGCCAACCCCACAACATGTCAACACTCTCCCCTTCTTGACCTTGGGTTCCCCATTACCCGGCTGGGTGAATTTTGCATGAAAGCTCAGGGGTGATTTTCTCTGTCATGTCTGATCACTGGCTCTCCTTGCATTTAGAATAAAACCCAAAGGCTGCCCTGTGAGGACTGAGCCGGGCCCGTCTCTTTCACCACATCGTGTGTCATTTCTCCCTTGCTCATCCTGCGTGACTACTCAGGTCATCTTTTAGATTTATTCACTAGCCAAGTTCTTTTTTGCAGGAAAAGAGGCTTTACACATGCTGTTCCCTCTGCCTGGAACCCTGCCTCCTCTCCCATACCCTACCTTTTTCTGGCTTACCCTCTTCATTCTTCAAATTTTGGCTTAAAGTCATCATCTCAGAGAAGCCTCCCCTGACTGCTCCATTTA